TTTCTTTTCCTGCTGCCACACCCCCAGCTCGTCGCGTGTGAGCCTGACAGCTTAAAAAAAGACCACTGTGCGTGGGCCACACCTTTTCGCCCTTTCGGTAAGGCACCTTTTGTACCTTGCAGTTGGACGGGACAGGCAAGCCACCACAACCTCCTGGAAATCTCAAAAATGCATCCACCTTATCTCACGAAACTGCCAATTGCCAGGCGCCATCCTGGTCACACCAACTGGGCTGAGTTGCTCTGTCCTGAGGGACAGCAGCCTCGTCAGGGCTTTCACGAGCATGATTCGTCTTGCGCTCCTGGAGAAAAAAGGGGATGAATAGGGGAGCAGGGGAGGTCGCATTCGCCGTGCTGGGTAGTCGTGTACGAAGTAGTGCGGTACGCGAGTCAGATAGGGAGTACCTGTGCGTTATATGGCACAGAGGGTTAAATACTGGTACCCCAATACACATACTGTACTTTGGGCCGTGAGAGTCAGAGTTCATTTCCTGGCAAGCCAATTTTTCTCTTTTCTCTCCGTTGGCCGCCTCCCCCCTGAGTGCCAAAAAAAGAAACAAAAACCGGGTAGTTGGGGGCAAAACGCGTTGGAAGAAGGGCATTTTGAGGGACTCTAAGGGACTAGTGTCACTAAACAGTGGGAAAAGAAGGGGAAAGAAAGGAAAGAAAGGGGACAATCTTTGCTCGACTCTGCTGAGGAGAGTATGCCCACCGCCTATCGATCGTACCGCCGGACTCTCCTGGTCATTTCTGATTACTACTACCGTGCGAGGCCAATCGGCCCACCCCTGTTCCTGACGCCGTCGTTCTGTTGGTCGTCGGTCATTGCGGTCCCTCCCTCTCTCCTCGCTCTTTATTTATTCTCTAGTGGTCACTTCAGCGTGGGCCGTCAATACACTTGAAAGTAAGGTACCTGACCGAGTCTCGTATCGCCGCAAAGACGTTATCTCGTAAGATGGAATCGACGGTCGGTTCCAGGCCTATCTTACGGCGCCAGTTCGCTCATTCCCTGTCCCAGGAAGCTTGGCTCTTCTTTTCTCTTCTCTTATCTCTGACACCATGACTCCGTCGTGGATTCCTGGGTAGCTGGGAACAACGCTCCCACTGCCTTGATTTTGGCACCGGCAGGCCCCAGTTTAGGTCCCAAGTGTGCGTGCATTGCATACGTAGTTGACTTCTGTTGACCCAGGTCGTGACAAACGCCACCAAAGAAAAAACAATCAAGAAAAAAGCAAACACAATAATGTGACCCTCTGTGGCTGTCTCTGGCCATTCTGTGACGTACTGCAAATGCGTTTACAACAGCGGGTAAAGGAGAAGACCAAATCACGATTGCCTTGACAATGTGTAAACAAGTTCCGTTCAGTGACTCCATGATGAAATCACACTTCAAGGAATATCGTCCACGCCAACAGCAGCCGCCGAGAAATGACAAACAAAATAGAAAAGCACCTACGCCGGCGCGATCGCGGGATCTGCTCGCCCTACCCGGCTTCGCATCTTGGTCTTTGTCATATGCAATCTGCCATCTGCGTTCTGCATTCCAGTGGTCGAGTAATACACAGCAATACACAGTGATCCGTCCAAACTGCGGCTCCTCTGACACGCTTCAGGCTCCGACTATGGTATGTAAGCCGCTGTTGCAGGGCAACCCAGGCTGTTGTGGATGCCATTCAAGGCCCAAAACACACCAAAGCAAACAAGATACGATGTGGAAAGAAGACGCTCGCCGAAATGCGACATGTAGCTCGAATCCCTCAATAATGCGAACAAAATTACGGTCACGGCCAGGTGGTAATTACAGCGCTCGTATTCATCCTGGGAGGGCTTTTCTCGCTCATTTCGGGGAAATACTGCCAGCAGGAGTATGGAGTAGTGGGCAGTGGAGGCATGGGTGGTTGCACAGTCAACCGTGACCATGAACTCACTGTTCACCTCGTCACTTGTATTTTGGACCTCACAAACATTACATTATTACCCCCGTAACAAAGCATTGGGTGGCAAACCCCCATCAAAGCCAAGGCAACTCGGCGTAGCGAAAGGCAATCACAGGTAAAAATTCAACCCAGATCCGAAAGAAGCAAGCCCGGTGGCAGGAAAATGGACTGACAGGCCTGCTAGACAGTGTGAAATAGGATCCAAATACGATAGAGAAGGAAGAAGGGCATGGAGGGAAAATGAAAAGAAACCCGAGATATCCTGTCGCTCTCACCACTCCACCACCATCACAACCGCTCCACCTCCTTTACTCCTTTTTCCTGGTACATTCGTACCCACACAATCCATCTCCACACCCCCCTGTCCCCTCCTTCTGCCCTTCTCTCTCTCCCCCGATCCACACCAGGCGAAGGCGATGAAGGTCACTCACGACTCAGTAAGAGGCAGAGAGACGTCGACGGTAGCATCCACCAGCCCCTAGTCCGCTCCCGGAAAGTCCTGTTATGATTGACCAAAAAGAGAGTGGGAAAGGAAATTATGGACCGCTGCACGGATCTGGGCTAGTTAGCGCTGGTCAATCTCTTTTTTTCGCTCGCGTTGTTTGGTCAGGCCCAGGTTCCCTGATCCTCTCTGATCCTCTCTGATCCCTCTGTCGTTCCTCGTTCCTCGCTCGTTGTTGTCCTCCACCTGCTGTGCAGCTGCATGCCCAACACTCCGTTTCCATCCCATCTGGCATCTGCAAGGGCCCTGTTTTGATTTTCAGGCGCTGGTGGCTGGCCTCTGAGCACAATGGCACCCCCCCCCCTTCGGCCTTTTTCTCACTCCCCCCTTCCCCTGTCACAAAGACAAACATACACCAACGCCAACAAACGGCCCCCCAAACCACCCTGAAAGACCCCCAAAATAAGTCGCCATGGTCCAACGCGGTCGCCCATTTCTGTATATAAGACCACCCTCTCACTCCCTTTCTTGATCCATTCCCCTTTCTCTTTTCTTTCTTCTTCTCTTCTCTTTTCCTCCTCACCCACACTCGCTCACATACAAAACTACCCTGACTCTACAGTCAATTTCACTCGTTACAACAACCTCCACAACTCCTCAACCTCTACCACTTAATTCTCTAAACCGTCTTCCGACAACCACCCCAACCGACAAAATGAAGTTCTCCGTTGCCTCCCTCCTGGCCCTGGCCACCGCCGTCTCTGCTGGCTCCAACGTGACCTACACCACCGAGGTCGTCACTGCCCTGACCACCTACTGCCCTGAGGCCACCACCCTGACCCACAACGGCAAGACCTACACCATCACCTCGGCCACGACCCTGACCATCACGGACTGCCCCTGCACCGTCACCAAGCCGGTCACCACCGCCACCACGGTCTCGTGCACGACTCCGTACGTACAGCCAAATTGGTAGTTGACGCATTTAGAAACGTGAAACTAACTGCTCTCCAGCTACAACAACGCCACCGTCTCGCACACCAAGGGCACTGCTTCCTACACCCCCACCCAGTCGGCTGTTGTCACTGCCGGTGCCGGCAAGGTCATGCTGTCCGGCGCTGCCGGTGTCATCGCCGTCGGCGCTGCCATCCTGCTGTAAATGTAGCCAACGAAGACAACCCCCTCCTACATATACCTCTTACCGGAAAAAACCCCTACGCCAAACTTTTTTTATGTGCTGGGAATAATGGATTTTGTGAAGATTTGAAGACGTTCCAAGGACCACCGTCAATCTTTGAGGAGCAAATTTTTTTTTGAGAAAGGATGACTTGTTTACCGCGCAAAGGGTCTCTCTTTTAGCCAGCGAATTTTTTTCTATTAATATGATTTCCGCTTTTATGTGAGAATTACTTTCTCTGTTCTGTCTGGGAGACCCTGTTCTTTCGTTTTTCTTTCCTCTTCATTGTTTTGGACAAAACTTTTTACTTCTAAACATCTTCGCTTCTCTCACTTTTTCCATCAAGTTTTCATATTTCCCATCACAAAAAAACCAGGCTTTTGAACCGTTTTTAATGACCCTTGGGAAAGCGTTTTCTTTTTTTCTTGTTTCTGACTACCTTTTTTTATTTTCTGCTCGATGTTCTGCGAGGGACTCTTGTATTGCCTTCATTTTTAATGGTTGATAGACTTCCATATTTTTATTGAAATATTCCTTACCAGATTTTTTACCTGACATTGTTTGCTGTCGCTTGGTGACCATTCTGTGGAGCATTGTTTCAATGGTGTGCGGTCTTGAAAATTAACGTTGCAAAAGACAGTAGTTCATGTGATGATCGTAAACAGAGACGAGGCAATCCGTATTTTCTCTGCCGTTCTGACAATCTCTTTCTCTATCCCATCGACCTCAACACAGCTTGTGTAGACTACACGGTAGTTGAAGTCACTATAAACAACCCCATGCGGCCCATCATCGCTGGCGATCCAGATCGTCCCGTCGCGTATCACAACATTTGGTATCCGTCATCTGTCAAATGCGCGTCTGTCACTGCTGGCGAGAGACCAGCTGAAAACCGGTTGGACTAAACGCAATGTGCAATTAACCTTCTTTTCACTTGTCGTGTTCCTAATCGTTCCCGTCCTACACAACACCCGTTCTTACGTTCCCTTGATGCCCTGTTGCGAAACCGCTCATAGGCAGCAAGCTCCCTCTGCTGTCCTCACCCCAATCATGGCCTTTGGCGATGCCTTCGTTGCCTGGCTTTGAAGCTGGAGTCTTCTTCTACCCTCTGCCTCTGAAGTCTGCATCTCGCCCGGCTCTGCAGAAGAGATAGACGGCCCGTTTTGTGGGACGGGACAGCCTTCTTTGGGTCCCCGGAAGCGGCGGATAGCTGCTTGCTCCAGCTATTGCTCTGTATTGCTCTGTATTGCCTTCTCCAGGTTCCCGGGTAATACAGTCCACGGGAAGAGGAGAGTCATGGGGGAGAGCAATTGAAAGAGAGAAAAAAAAAAGAAGAAAAAAAAAAAGGCAGACCTATGACGGCGCACAAGTTCTCTGCCAACCAACAGATCAATGTATCTTACTCGTAGCCAGCCTCTCTCGTTTGACAAATTTCAAAATATGTGATGCTGCGCACCCAATTTCCACTGTCAGAATACAGCAAGCAGCGCGACACGTTATCTTTCCCTTCACATGCGCCCGCTGGCGCTTACCTGACTCCAGAGAACAGACGCGACAGGGACATTTTGGTGTGGGAAATTGCGCACCCTCCATCAGAAAAATGCACTCCGCCGACAAGCACACCCACCAGAACAGGCCAGCCCAGTCCAGCCCAGCACGCTCGCAAGGTCTTCTATCTCGACCCTTGCCTCACGCAACAGCGCCTTCTTCTTTTGGGTGCTGTTGAGAGCGTACCGAACATCGTATTCTACACTGCGATACGAGATTGATGGATTCTGCCGTAACAACCTACCAACTATCTTACTATCTCGACCCATGTTCGCACTTTGCCGTCTGTTCCCCGGTCCCTGGTCTGCCCTTCGAGAAAAACCCGATGCGCCGTAAACCAGGTCGATTCGCACTGCCCAGCTCCAGAAGACCCTTCGAGACTGTGTGGCCCGACCGCCGCAAGCCTTTTCGTTTCTTTGTCGCGCTTCCCTTTTTTTCTTTTCATTTTGATTTTTGCGCAGAATCTAAAACATGTCTCACTTGCCATCAATGTCGCGCGTCCAGACCACTCCACAATTGACAGACTCGTATTTCTTTCGTCTCTCGTTCTGTACATTCGTACTTTTGTACCCTCTACGGTGTACCTTTCGGAGCCTCTCTCTGTTCCCCTAGTCCACCTTTCTCGTCTGTTCCTATCGTCGCAAAAAGGACCACGTAAACAAAACAGCTAGACCGCAACCCAGCCGTTGACAATTTGCACCGAAAACTGGCACCAGCAGAGACGGCGTCCGCCGCCATCGCGCAGTCGCGCCCTTTTTTTGCGGCGCGCAACGAGTCCACTAGACGTAAATGGGCGCCACCCTATTTTATGCAAGAAATGCACCAAATTGTGCACGTTGCTGGAGTGCAGCAGGGGGGCTAATGCAGGAACGGCCAGGGCAGTCACAGAGAGAGAGTCGTTTGCTTCTGCTGTTTCCGGTCCAAAGGCGCTAAGCAAAAAGCAAGTTCTGTCGCCGCCAAGCAAGGTTGCCTAGCGAGCCTAGTTTTTCACCGGCTCTGTTTTCCATCCTATTTTTGAATCGCATAGTGAACGTTTGTTCAACCTAAGATACGAACATGTATACTGTGTGTACAACTGTGTATGCACTGTTTATGCACAACGCACTGCCTCGGAAGAACCAGCCACAGTTGGACAAGCGTGGCCGTGTCTTGGTTTTGCCTACGAACTGGCCTGGCCTCTCGAGCCTCTCTGCCTCTCTGTATCTGCCTCTTCCCTGCATTGCACCGTCGCACCGTCCCTCCTTTGACCTCTCCCCTGCATGGCACACCCCTCCTCCCTCTGAGCAAATACGAGCTTCGCTACCAAGGTGTGTTGTCAATATGCTCTCATGCTGTTTTGCGGCGGGACTGAGCGTTTTGTGCCCAACCATTGCTGCGCTGTGCTGTCCATGGCCAAAACCAAGGAATCAAACGTTTTTGGCGTATGCCAAGGGGTTCGAGTCAGCAAGCAAGCTCTGAAAGCTGGGACGTGAGAGGTGTGATGAGAAGACGAAAAAGAGCCTCCCGGGAGACGGGCCGACGGCGGCGTGGACAAGGGAACGAGCTGTCCTGCAGCATGCCAGATGAGGTGAAGCCGCAAACAGAAATCAAGAAATCTGCCAAGAATATGCAAGAGCATTGGAAAAAAAAGTACTGACGTAGGTGAAGCCTTACTTGGCGGAAAGCTTGCACTTCGGGTAGAGTCGGTGTGGGACCTTTCCTTCTGCGGTCCATGGCAAGACGAAGTGGTCGACGTCATTGCAGCTGAAGCCGGAAAGGTGAATATCGTCGTCTTTCAGGATCAAGGGCCTTTTGTCTTTTGCTTTGACCCTCCCAGCGTCCTCCTACCTTAGGACCCCTTCTGTCGACTCTTTGTCCTCTTCAGCTGCCCTTCTGATTGCCCTGATTGCGACCGGCCCTGAATCTGACGCGCTGAGTGAGACATTGGTGTCTCTCTGTTCCAGATCGCATGCCAGTCAGATGCGTCTGAGAGAGGGCGTTGAACAAAACTAGCACCCTGTCTGGGAACGGAGAAAACAGTCCACGGAACCCTGGGCCTAGGGGTGTGTGGTGTGAAACATTATTACTTTGTGTGCTCTCGTTCAAGGTTGATTGATATCTTTGCTGTTATCGTCCACTGCGTGTCTGGGCATCTGTCCTGCCAAACCATCCGAGACCGTGCTTGTGTCTTCTGCGTCCAATTTCAACATTCCAGAGAGTCTCTGTTGTTTGTTGACTTTTTCCATTTCTGCTGGCATCCAAACAATGCACTGCACTGGTGTGCATCTTCCAGAGGATACAAACGAGCTCGATGCTTGAGTAGCGCATTGCGCGATGCACACGGGAGGTATGCAGATCGACTCGGGGCATGCATCCAAGATGGTGAATTTTATCGCCTGTATAGATTGAAAATACAATGGCGACTCGCCTCGTTTACCTGCATGTCCTGGACTAAGAATATGCAGCCATGTACGCCAGACCGCGTCAGGCTCGGCTCACCCAGATGTCGGAGGTGTGATCCCCGGTGACGGGTATGTATCGGGCGGTACGAAGTACGTCCGAGTCTTGTACTTGGCATGTGGCGAGCAGTGTGTCTCCTGTAGTAGTCGCCGGAGTTGATCACATTGTCCCGGGGCATCGTCAGTTCGGCCCCGCTCCTCGGTCTCACGATGCGGTCGGCCCAGCCCGGACAGTCTGTCCTCGACGCCTTCTGGTGCCTTGCCGTGGGAGTGACCAATGTTTCTGATATCGGTTCAGGCCCATGCTCACGTGTATCAGCTTTTTCTTCTGTGACATATTGCACGTGTCTTCTGGTTCATGATGTGATGTCAGCAAGCGATAGCGGTTGTTGGGTCATGTCCTGTGCAGCATTGTTGTACTGTTGGTAGATGTACGTGATGATACGGACGGTATTTTTTTGACTCGTGTATTTGTATCCGCCGTGTTTGTCGTGTTTTGTGGTGTATGATGGTAAAGTTGGTTTCATATCGTTTATTTTTATTATTATGATTTTGACATTTTACAACTGCTTTTTTTTTTATGATTTTCTTATAAAAAAAAAACCATACGACAAGAAACAACGAAAGCAACAACAAATCCACCACGAAAAGTATCCCCAACAGAAAATAAAAACGAAAAGGAACAACACGTAATAGCTGCCGATATTCTATGGACAAAGACTGTTCGTCGTTGGTGGATGGCAACGCAGACTAGGTCGGCTAAGCTAACAAACGTAACCGAACAAGTATCACATATGCGCGAGGATGATGCATTGGCGTTTTACAAGTACAGTCCGCCAACTACGACTTACTTAAGAGAGCCAACAACCGCAGCCAATGTTCGCATAACCGACGACGTAATCTGTATGGCTGAGACGGGGTTTTCGAGGTATTGGCCAAACATGTCGAACCAGTCATAATGTGCAGCCTCCACGGTGTAAAGGAAAGGGACGACACCGATCTCCAATTCGCATCGACCCTTGAACAGCGGACGCCGTGTCCGTGGGTGCCGTCGCTTCTCCAACTTATACCTAGTCGTCCCTGATCGGCCCAAGTCGTTCAACAAAGCCCGAGAAATAACAACCATCCGAGCACAATACCCGAAAAACCGAAAGGAACGGACAAGCAGACCGCGCCCGTGCTCGGCACTCGAACGTCCTTTCATTCGGGCTTGAGATATGGGGTACAACAGCTCTCCTTTGGAAGTCCCGCATGGAAGATCGAAGCTTATTGCAGAGCTCTCCGGGCCCGGCTTTGACATAGATGGTTTGGACCTGGCTCTCCGGGACTGCCATGATTGACAACCGAACTAATACGGGGCATCAAAATACGGCCACATAGAAACAGGCGACGGACGACTGAAGACGACGCCCGGCCATGTTGCTTATTCCTCGTGGGTGGTGGTAGTCGCAATGGTGCGCAACAGCTCTTATGATCGGCTGTGTGAACATTGCAACGAAAGTGGCCGGGCTGGTTTGCCGGTTAGGTTCGCGCATTTGAGGACTCTGGTTGGAGGCTGGCGCCCGGGGGAACGGGGAAATAAAGTGGACCCACCTGTGCCTGGGCGGGGGGACTTGTGGAGGACCTGGGGCAAGTGACCCCAACACTCTTTCCCGCTCAGCCGGCAGTAAAACGGCTCGACATCTGAACCGAGAAAGGTCCGTCGACGGCGATACAAAGAGGAGTCGATGGACGGAGGTGGATGCCACTGTGAGAGTCGAGTGAGCAGATTGTGTCCATCTTCATCGTCTTTATCGACATCAAACCGCCCACTTTCGGTTGCTGCACCCCACAGGACAACGAAGTCCGAGGCATATTTTGGCAATTAAACTTGCTATTTATTTTAATCCTACCCCAACCTGCTCATCGTCTTACACAGTACACGGAAGGCGGTGGACGAGACGGCAGCTGCGACGGAGAACCCCTATTTGGCCTCCTTCCGCCATTCTCCTGCGCACTGCAACACTGGCGTCACGGCGGCTTTCGTCCCCCTTTCTTCGGGCGCGTTTCGGCACACATCTCCGACGACAGCCCCTAACTCCAACACGCGCCATGGCCGACCACCTGCAGGACCGGGTCCAGCGTCACTCGCTGTCGGACCCCGAGTCCTTCTGGACGCACCAGGCCGACCAGCTTTACTGGCACCATAAGCCCGACGTGGCCCTGAAGCACACGACCAAGACGCTCAAGGGACTGGCCGAAGACGGGGCCAAGAGCCGCGACGTGACGCACGACCACTGGGAGTGGTTCCCGGGTGGCCAGATCTCGACATGCTACAACTGCGTCGACCGCCACGTGCTTGAGGGCCGTGGCGAGGAGCCGGCCATCCTGTATGACAGCCCCGTCACCAACACCAAGCAGCGCATCACCTACAGCGAGTTGCTGGCCGAAGTCGAGACCACAGCGGCCGTGCTGCGCGAGCACGGCGTCAAGAAGGGCGACGTTGTCCTGGTGTACATGCCCATGGTCCCGGCAGCGCTCATTGGCATTCTGGCTGTCAACCGCCTGGGCGCCATCCACACCGTCGTCTTTGGCGGCTTTGCGGCCGCGCCTCTGGCCCAGCGCATCGAGGACTCGCGCCCCGTCGCCGTGCTGACTGCCTCGTGCGGCATCGACGGCAACAAACCCCCCATTGCCTACCGGCCCTTTGTCGAGGCCGCCGTCGCCCTGTCGGCCTGGAAGCCGCCGCACGTCATCGTATGGCAGCGCGATGCCCTGCGGTGGGACTGGACCGAGATCACACC